GAGGCTTCCTGCCGTTACGAGGGATTGGCTGCAAAGTAACCAAAGAAAACATTTGTTTCCTGTGTGAAGAAAACATCAAGAGCTTCTGTTCCTCAGGCTGCAAATGTACCATCCGCGCCTGTCTCTCATGATGATCACTCAGGATGACAAAAGGGGCCAGCACCCTTCTAGAGAGGTTTGGCGGCTAATAACATATTCTATGTTCGGTATGTGTGTATACACACACACACATACACACACACACACACACACACACACATACACACAAATGGTAAAAGAAATTCATGGTCTTAGACTCTCAGGGCTGGAAGAACCCATAGACATCGCAGGCTCATGGGTCTCTAACTGGAAGGGCGCTCAGGGACCATCTCATCCAATCCCCTCATTTTACAGATTGAGAAACTGAGGCCCAGGGACTTGCCTGAGTTTACACAAGTGGTAAGCGTCAAAAAGGTGGGATTTGAATTCAAGTGCTCTGACTCCAAGGCTTCTTCTACTGTCCGATCTCTTCATTTCTAACATCCAGGGCCCCTGGAAAAGGAATTATTAGCCTTGTTTGGCTTGGTTAATGAGGGCAGAACTAGAAAATTGCAAAGAGGTAGATTTGAAATGGATGCCAAGAAAAATGAGCAAATAGGGCTGTTTGCATTTGAATAGTGGGCTCTCCTTCACTGGCCACTTGCCAAGATGGATTCCTTTCCAGGTATGGTTTAGACTGGACGGCCACTCTGAAATGCCATGATTCTATGGAGCAGAGACTACGAGTGGGGGAGGGCTTGCCTCCCAAGTACTCTACTGGTTAATGGCAGATTGGGCCTCAGCCCCAAGTCTGGTGGCCTGATCCCAATACCACCCTGCTTTGGCTTGGTTTCCATAACAAGAAGGTCAAAGGGAAATAATTCTCAAAATTCCAAGTTGGTTTCAGACAACAAAATTGTCTCAGCAAAACCAAGGGCAGGTTTTGGTTGTTGTCAGTTTACAGGCCATATAAAAATGGCCCTGGTTTTAGGTCAGTCAGACTTGAGAAGGTAGAGTTTCTTCCTAACAGAAGAGCCTTCAGCGATTATTCAGAAGAATAATCTAAGTAATAAAGGCAGGTTGCATAATAACATATTCTATGTTCGGTATGTGTGTATACACACACACACACACACACACACAAATGGTAAAAGAAAGAAAAACCTCTAAGTAATAAAGGCAGGTTGCATTCATGATAGATGAAAGGCAAAATGATTGGTTGACTATGAAGGCAGCAAGCTGGGGTAATGTTTAACGACCGGCTCTCCAGAAGGAAAAAAAAGTCTATACAACACACTTACAAGTTTAATCTGCAATATTGACATTTTCTCCATCACTAAAGTTGAGACAATCAACAAGACAAATAAAGCCTTTACTCATATCATTTGCCAATTTCCAATGTGTAATTGCTGATGCTAAAATTCTAACAGTTGCATCTAGGTAGTGAGAAGGCCCCAACTGCTCTCACCATCACTCCCCGAGGAATCCATGCCAGATGTCAGAGGACCCATAAACCTGGGTGGGAAAACAACTTCTAACTGAAACTTAGCATTTTCTTCAATTACCTAAAAAACAGAAGGATCTACAGACTTCACCAGACGATCGGAGAAGGCGTCCATAACACCAGGTGAAGCAAGGCTCTGGGAACACTAAGACAAGAAAGCAATAGGCCCTGACCTCAGGGATCTTCTACTCCACTTGTGGCTAGTCACTGATAACACTTAGCACGTAAAAGAAGAGAAGCATTTTTTATACCCTATATAAAAAAAAATATAAGTACAATGACACCCATTGTGGAAATGCCTCTTGTCCCCGGAAGCCAAGAACAAGAATAATGCCCCTGTTATAAAATAACATTGTTCTATAGGGAAGGGAAGGGAGGGAAGAGGAAAGAAGAGAAGGAGGGAGGGAAGGAGGGAGAAAGGAAGGGAGGAAATAAGCTTTTATTAAATGCCTACTATGTGCCAGGCACTTTGCTAGTGCTTTACAATTGTTATTTCATAAAGCTTCTGTTGTACACACTTATTATAGTCGTGGGAACATGCTCTGACATGTGGTTGACTTAAATTCATGTAATAAGATGTTCAATAGACACATTGAATAACTGTGCAAGCCCACAGAAGTTATTTTGTAGCTCTGTACCTCAGTTTCCCCATCTGTAAAATGAAGGGGATTCCTATTACTTTCCTGTGACTTCTATCCTATGTAACTTTGTATGAGGGAAATGTTGAAATTGGAGACTGTTCTCATAAATGAATCACAAGACAGAGAAGTACCTCGAAGGGTGACTGAAGCCAGCACATAGTTCCCAGACTATTCACCACATGAATAGAGTTCTCTGACAGCATTTCCACATCAGAGTATTGTTCCCTCTGAAATATCAAGCATGAAACGATGTTATCAGAAGTACATGTGACAACATTTCAGTATGAACAGAGGATGAGTTTTTTCTATTTGGGGCCAAGATGTTACTGACCTTCCTTTCTCCCAGAAGGCTTCATAACCACAGCCCCCAGCCCCCTCCAGGATCCCCCAATTTAGGGGTTTCATTCATAGATTCCCACCCCGAAAGGTGAAGGCAGCCGGATTAATTTGGTCATACTGTTTTAGCGTATCTTTCTTCTTCCAGGCTGGCCAGGAATGAACTAAACTGCCCAAGAAAGCCAATTCTGCTTCTAGAAAAGCCAACTCTCTTACTAATCATTCTAGTGACTCTTAAACCTTTCCCAAAGTCAGGATACCAGAGAGCAAAGCCCACTAGTCAGTCAGTCAATAATCATGTATTAAGCACCCACTATGGGCCAGGCAGAGCAGCTAGGTGGTACAGTGGATAGAGTGCTTAGGCCTAGAGTCAGGAAGACCTGAGTTCAAATCTGGCCTCAGATACTTACTAGCTGTGTGACCCAGGGGAAGTCACTTTACCCTGTTTGCCTCAGTTCCCTCATCTGTCAAATGAGCTGGAAAAGGAAATGGCAAACCACTCCAGTATCTTTGCCAAGAAAACCCCGAATGGGGTCACAAAGAGTCAGACCTGACTAAAACAACAAAATGTGCCAGGCACTGTGCTAAGCACCATGATATAAAAAGAAGCAAAAGACAGTCCCTGCCTTCAGGGAGCTTACACTTTAACGGGGAAGACAACAAATAAACAAATACTATATACACGCGCGCGCGCACACACACTATAAAGTGGAGATAATGAAGAGGCGCAAGGCACCAGAATTAAGAAAGATCCAGAAAGGCTTCCTGGAGAAGGTGGGATTTTGTCTGAGACTTGAAAGAAACCAAGGAAGGAGATGGAGATAAGGAGAGAGAGCCTTCCAGCTGTGGAAATGCCTCAAGCCGAGCTGAGAGATGGATGGAGTGTCTTGTCCGGGAACAGCCAGGAAGCTGGTGTCATGGGATTGAAGAATGTGTGTGGGTAAGTATATAAGACAACTGGAAAGGCACTAGATTTGGAAAGGGAGAGCCTGGATTCATAACCCAAACTTCTGCCTACAACCTGTGGGACTTTGATCTGTAAAACGAGGAAGTTGGACCATAGCAGGGAGTCTTCACATTATGTGTTTGTTCTGGACCTGTTGGGCAGCCTGGGCAAGCCTTTAGACCCCTTCTCAGAATCATGCCTTTAAATGCATAAAATGAAATACACAGTGTTACAAAGGAAGCCAATTATATTGAGATAAAAGCTATCAAAGTATTTTTCTTTTCTTTCCTTTTTTTTTTCTTTTTTTGGTGAGGCAATAGGGGTTAAGTGACTTGCCCAGGGTCACACAGCTATCAAAATATTTTTCAAACCAAGTTTGCAGACCCCAGGGCTGTAGAGAACCCCTGCACAAGCTGGTCTCTGAGTTCCACCCAGAGGGGGCAGGATACAACAGATTTGATGCTGGAGGACCTAGGTTTTTTTATCTTTTTTTTTTTAGGCAATTGGGGTTAAGTGACTTGCCCAGGGTCACACAGCTAGTTAGTGACAAGTGTTTGGTCTGAGGCTGGATTTGAAAGGTTTGAAGAGCAACTTTATCATTTACAACCTGTGTGACCTCAAGCGAGTCAAAAGCTAGAAAGCCCAGGAGGGTGCCCATTTCCTCATCTGTAAATAAAGGAGTTTGGACAGATTCCTTTGAAGTTCTCCCTTCCACTCCCTTTCTGTGATTCTCAATCGATGATTCTCTGGCTCTAAATCTAGGACTCCACGATCCCTCCTTCCAGGCTGGACTGGGGAAGACACAACTGTCCGAGAAAGGCAGGTCTGATTCTAGATCACCAATAAGCATTTCTTAAGCACCCATCTGATTCTAGATCACCAATAAGCATTTATTAAGCGCCTATTACACATCAGGCATAGAGAGAAGGTGCTGAGGACGCTCAGAAAGGCAAAAGCCCCGTTCTCTGCCCTCCAGGAGCTCACGGTCTAGAAACGGGGTCAACACTATGTAAATGGCCGGGAAAATGCTAACAGTTTGGGGGCCGGAGGGGCATTGGGAAAGGCCTCTTGCAGAAGTGGGAATTTACTGAGTCCTGAAGGAAGCCAGGGAAGTCAGGAAGCAGAAACAAGGAGGGAAAGCATTCCAGGTATTGGGAAAGGCACAGAGATGGAAGATGAAAAGTCCTATCGGGGGAACCACCGAGAAGGCCTTTGTCGCCAGACTGCAGAATACACGGAGGAGAACAAGGTCTAAGAAGAGCAGATGGGGCAAGGCAGGCCGAGAAGGGCTTTAAAAGCCAAACAGAGGACTTTATATCGAGCCCGGAGGTAATCAGGAGTCACTGGCGCTAGCTCATTCAAGATGGTTAGACCTACGCTTTAGGAAAATCACTTTGGCAAATGAATGGAAGATGGGTTGGAGTGGGGAGACACGTGAGGCAGGAAGATGAGCATTAAACTGTTGCAATAGTCTAGGCATGAGGTAATGCAGGCCTGCACCAGGGTGTGGCTATATAAGGGGAGAGAAGGGGACATAGACGAGTTATTGGGAGGTCGACCGGCTGAGCTGTGGCAACAGATTGGACATGTGGGGTGAGTGCGGGCAAGGAGGCAAGGCTCACACCTAGGTGTGATCGCACCAGGGTGATTAGTAGGATGGTGAAGTCTGGAAAAGGAAAAGATTTGGGGAAATAATAGATAATGAGTTTTGTTTTGAATACGTGGAGTTTGAGATGCCCATGGGACATTCAGTTCAGGATGTCCAACGGACTGTTAGTAATGTGAAACTGAAGGTCAGGAGAGAGGTTAGGGCTGAAAAAATAGAGCTGACATTCATCTGCTGAGAGATACTAATTATCCCAAGAGAGCTGATTAGATCACAGAGAGTCAAGGACTGAATTTATTGAGGAAGGAAGGAGAGGGATTGGGGGGTCGGCAGATAACGGCAACCCAAATCTTCACTGGGTGACAAATGCATATAGAACGAGCCTCCGTGGAGGAGAGGTTCCCAAGTAAACCGAATAAGGAGAACCTGGAAGTGTCCGTGGGAAGCATTGTCCCATCACCCCGCCATGCTCGATGAGGTGACGAGTCCCGTACAGCCCAGACTGGAAAGAATAGCTGAGAATGCTGGGTCATCAGGAGAAAGCCAGGTGACAAATACCATGCCCGCTCTTGGGAACATACTCTGATGACTCACTGTTCGGATATCTCTGCGGAATGAACACGGAGTCTAAAGGCAGAGGGATGGGGAACTCGCTGTGTGTGGAACCTCAGGAAGTCCCTTCTCTCTAAGCCTCAGTTTCCTCATCTGTAAAATGCTGATCTAAGACGCTGTCAGCTCTTAATCCCATAAATTCTCACTAAAGTGTAGCCACTCCTGAGAGGTCTGTATGAGGGCTTTGTTCTGAACCTTTGTTCTGGCCTGCTTCCTTCCTCTTTCTAGGAAAAAGATTCCAGCCCTGAAGAAAGCAGGGCTTGTGTACGACAATGTCACTTGATACCTACTAAGGACAGGGCAGCATTGCATCTGGGATGTCATTGGTAGAAGCAACTGTCTGGTGTAGAGGCTCCCTCCACCACATCAGGTGGGCAGCCGCCCTGCCACGTCTAGCCTTAGAGATGTGCCCGGAGAGTGAGAGAGGATCGAACTTTGTCCCCAGGGTCACACAGTCAGGGGTAGGACCTGAAGCAGGTCTTTCTGGTGTCAAGGCTGGCATTGTCTCAGGCTGTCCCCATGCCTGGAATGCCCTCCTTCCTCATCTCCACCTCCTGGTCTCCCCAGCATTCTTTTTAAGTCCCACCTAAAACCTCACCTTCTACAGGAAGCCTTCCCAACACCTCCTCATTCTAGTGTCTTCTCTCTGTTAATTATTTCCTATTTATTCCATCTGTGGCTTCTTTTCGGGTTGTTTCCCCCATTAGATTAGAAGCTCCCTGACTGCAGGGACTGTCCTTTGCCTCTTTTTAAATCTCCAGTGCTTAGCACAGTGCCTAGCACACAGTAAGTGCTTAATAAATATTTACCAACTGAGTATACAGGGTGTTCCAAAAACCTTCGTGCACTGAGACTGTTGGAATGCCAAGCGTAAGCGCAAGACATCATGGAGTTATGGCTAGAACGCTGTCCTTGGGGTCAGGAACACCTGGGATCAAATATCACCTCAGGCATGGACTAGTTGTGCGACTCTGGGCAAGTCACTTTAACCCTACTGTGCCTCAGTTTCCTCATCTGTACAATGAGGAATGTGGAGTCAGTGGTTTCTAGGGTCCCTTCCAGTTCTAAATCTGTGATCCTAGGAAACATGGACTACTGGCATTAGTCCTCCAATGGCAGAGCTAAGAAATGAGAGGCTGTGATGTGTTCGAGGTCACACAGCCAATAAGGGCCAGAACTAGATTTGAACTTGGGTCCTCTGACCTCACCACGGAGGGATGAGAACAGTAGTTCTCGCGCTGCGGTCCTTTTTAGACTGTGCCTCCTCTTGTAACAAAGAAAAACAATGAATCAAAAACCGGTCTACATAGTGATCTTGTCTGACAGTGTATGCAACATTCCACACTTGTAGGCCCCCACTCTGTCTCTCTGGAATGGGATGGAGGTGGGGAAGGACAGAAATCCCCTTTCCCCCTTGATGGGGTGAGGCAACGTTGGAAGAGACGCCACAAGGGCAGTTCCCCTGCTTACAAACCAGCGAGGAGTCCGTGTCCCTGACCCTGTCGTCAGTCATCTTTAGAGCAACCTGAGTCACTTGAGGCAGTTAGGAGCCCCCAGGGTCATCTCAGCACAGTGCCTGAGCACGTGTCCAACGGCAGGGAGGGAGCACAGCCCAGCCATGTGCCATGTGCCCTCATCCCCCCTCCTACTCAGGCAACCCCAACTTCCACTAATGACTCCCTCCCACACGCCACCTCTCTGGCCTTCAAATGGGTTGGACTAGACGTTCCCCAAAAGTCCTTTCCAATATATCAACAAGCATTTGTCATGCACTTACTGCATACCAGGGTCTGGGCTAAGCGCTAAGCATGCAAAGAAAAAGCAAAAAAAAAAAAAAGAAAGGAAAAAAGAAAGAAAAAGAAAAGAGTCTCAGCACTAAAGAATCTTACATTCGAATGATGGAGACATTTACATAGCTAGGTATACCTACTAAGCAGAAATAACATTGTCATTTCTATATCTTTGCACAAAGGAGATGCTCTTGTGCCATGAGAAGCAGACTTTCTGAAATATTCATATTATAAAAAGCATTACTGAAAATAATACTTTATAATGTTAATATTTAGGGATATTTCATTATTATCTCTCTGGATAGAGGGATAGATTTTAGTAATGTTTTAATAAAATTAATAATAAGTCTTAATATTATAAGTATTTACAATATTTGTTAATACTAATCAAGCTATTAATTATAATATTTAGTAACATTTATATTAATAATCTTTATCAGTATTTCAGTAAGGGCAGCTAGGTGGCTCAGTGAATAAAGTGTTGGGCCTGGAGTTAGGAAGACTGATCTTCCTGACTTCAAATCCAGCTTCAGACTCTTAATAGGTGTGTGACCCTGGGCAAGTCACTTCACCCCATTTGCCTCAGTTTCCTCATCTGTCAAATGAGCTGGAGAAGGAAAGGGCAAACCACTCCAGTATCTCTGCCAAGAAAACTCCTAATGGAGTCATGGAGAGTCAGACACGACTGAAAAAAAGACTGAACGAAAACAACAAATATGGGGAGACTCCCAGTCTATGATCCTCTGAATCCAAGGAAATAAAAGAAACATGGGAAGACGCGTATGGAAGAATGCAGACCAAAGAAAGCAGCATAGAGTGCTGTGTCCACAATGAGCACAATACGGGGAATGAAAATGATACTGAGAGAAAGCTAAAATCTATTTAATTGTAGCAACCAATCCTGATCTCACAGAACAGAGGTTGAAATGCATCTCTCATCTCAGCAGAGAAGTGGGGGACTACAGGTGTGGAATGTTGCATACACTGTCAGACAAGATCACACCGTAGGCTGGTCTTTGACTAATTGTCTTTCTTTGTTACAAGAGGAGGCACATGTCTAAAAAAGGAATGGAATTTTAAAAAAGGATTAAAAAAAGAAAAAACAAATTAATATCAGGAGAAAGGAGGGAGAGGAGAAAGGAACAGCCGACAAAATCAGGCCCCCAGCTGATATGACCAAAAGCACATCTCCCCTTTGGAAATGAAGACATTTGGCAAAAATGAATATCTGGCAGAAACGCTGTGAGCCAGGATTTTCGGGGCGGTTCAAAGGACTCTGTCCCCAGAGTCCCAAAGCTTTGTTGTTCAGTCATTTCAGTGGTGTCCCACTCTTCACGGTCCCATTTGGGGTTTTCTTGGCAAAGATACTGGAGTGGTTTGCCATTTCCTCCTCCTGCTCGCTCGACAGATGAGGAAACTGAGGCAAACGGGGTGAAGTGACTTGCCCAGGGTCACACAGCTGGTAAATGTCTGAGGCTGCATTTGAACTCAGGAACACGAGTCTTGCAGACTCCAGGCGCGGCACTCTATCCATGCTAACTCTCGCTATCTGTGTGACCTTGAGCGAGTCCCCTCCCCTCTGTGGTCTCAGTTTCTCACTCTCTAAAATGAGGGGCGGGGCTGCTTCGGAAAGCAGGCTCCCTGCAGGACAGCTTATGCTGGTAAATGCCACCTGGTGGAAGGTGTTCGGGAAGCTCTGGGCCCTGTTTGCTTTGGAACCGGGAGACGGAATTTCCTGTTTGGAGAAAAACACCCAACAGAGCAGAGTCCAGGAAGCGCTTTCGGAGGGGGTGGTTCCTTTGGGCCAGGGGTCCTTGCTTCAGAACATGTGGGCGTTTCTCCTTGCCCAGATTCCCACGAGCATCCAGGTGCTCGTTAACTGGAGGAAGAACATGGGACTGCCCTCATGCACAAAACCGGCGTCCCCCCTCGCCTGGGGTAATGGCCAGAGAGCCAGCCTGGGAGCCAGAAAGTCCTGGGTTGGAGGCTCACTTCTGTGTGACCCTGGGCAAGTAACTTAACCTCTCGGTATTCTGGACAACTCTAAGGCGAGGGTTGGAGAAACGGTGTCCACTTGTGCTGGGAGAAGACATTTTCTCATCCACAGTTGTTCCCCTTACCAATGAAATCACAGGTCCAGCTAATCCTAATCTTTCACTGTCTGTCTGTTTAATCGATCACCTGTCACAGTCCAGAAGAAAAAAAAAACCTCACAAACTGGTTTTTCTAACTTCGTCTTTCTCGTTCATCAGCCTTTCTGTTCTCTCCCTCCTATCAAGTCCCCCCTCCTTTCTGTCCTACCTACCCCTTCTCTAGCAAACAGTGAATTCTCATCCTAGAAGCTGGGGTCTTTCGATTTATCCTAGGCCTTCTCTGGAACCCCACCCATAGTCACTTTCCTGGCTGCCTGGTATCTTCCTGCCTGTATCCCTGGAAATTGGTGGAAATGACAAAAGATTGACTAGTCACTAATGCTGGAGGGGCTGTGGAAAGACAGGGACGCTAATACACTAGGGATAGAGCAGCGAATTGAGCAAATCACGCAGGAAAGCAATTTGTAGTTAGGTTAAGAAACAATTAAAATG